CACCTCTGGAGGGTATGAGGTTGGGACGTATTGAATGGTAAATCGATTCGGGGACGATAAGCATGTTACGGCACAGACAATTTTTACATCGGCTTATAGTCCTTCGGGTCAGACCAGACTATTCTGATCTGCATCTGATCTGTCTAACATGAATGACGCATGATCATCGCCGCTGCTTCGCGACATCGCGATGTTTTTCGCATAACTGGGCGGAAATGAACGCAGACTGCGTCTATATCCAACTCATAAAACATTAGCAGTATCAATGATATTATCCTGGTGTCTCTCAGCGTTAAAGAGAGTAGGATCGGTAAACATCACATACTGCGATCATTACTCAACGTAGATTCGAAGGGTGGGCGTCCCCGTGCGAGTACCTGAACGGATGGAAGACAGGTACAGTCTATATAAACGTCAAGGAAGGCGAATAGCCTTGCGATTACTCTGGGCAACAACAGCGCCTGGACCTCAAGTTGCTAACCCCGAGGACGGACGAAAGTTTCAATCACTGGCTGCATTATTCAATACGCATTGATCAGCATCTCGAACAGCGACCTCGACGCGTCCTAATTTCAGACTTCAGTTGGGTAGTGAGCGCCAAGAATAAGTGGACACCGGCTGTAGGATGCAAGGAAATAACGGGAGCGAGTAGAAATGAGCTAGGGACAACTTCAGGTTCTGATCAAAGATTTAGCGCTCGGGACCGCAGGATTGTGCAAAGCGTCGGCTTCTTCGGGCCGACAAAGTAAGCCGAGACTGCCGTCGAAAAGCGGTGTCACCAGGCTTCCACACGGATTGTCTGCTTGTATGTACAACTTGTGGTCCATTTGCGCAAGACAATGTTTGCTGAAAGTACCATCTTTGGCTAACTGACCACCTGCAGACCTACATCTTCCTTGCGCGGCATAAATTTACGCCTGCCGGTGTGACAATGATCGCGAGATGCGCCCTCCACGGTAAGCATGTTGTCAACCTTCCATCGAACTAATGATGGCTGAACGGGCGTCAGAATACTGATCAACCGCCTAGTTCAATGACTTAAGCTTGTGTCACTCAGCTCTCAGATTTCTGAGCATTGCAGATATAGTGCATCCCAAGTCTCGAACGACCTGTACCTAGCCAACATATCACAAGGCACCGATGTGTGAGTTTAATGACTTCATTTCCGTCTGGCTTCTTTACGTATTACAGAATCAATGCTCCAGTACCAGGTGCCGAGGCCTTCTCTGACGAAGTATTGGCGATTTTAGAGACTCGGATGCGGTAACGCTTCCACGCACGAACTAACACTCACATGGTGTCAACATCTCCTGCGAGTTCGGTGTCGAAGTTCGTACGAGATCTCCTTCAAGTTGCCGAGTTTGACATTGAGTATCAGCCGGTCCAAGCAAAACAATAGTATGTTTTTCAGATCAGCCTTCACTGACTTCCATAGCTCACCACACAACAGCCAACTTGGTGGGCCGGAAATCTTTCAGGACTCATTTGTCCAATGTTATAGCTTATCGGTTTTTTATATCATCGTGTTCGTCCTCTGCTCGCCCAAGCCATCCTATGTTCCGCGCTATTGTTAGTATAGCCCAATCCCGAGTGGATCCAACGACCTCCATCAAAGGAGAGGTAAACGGGGATAACACGGATTCCGATTGATTCGATAAACATATGGAGACTAGTTCTCCGGAAAGACTGGACCAAAATACTCCAGCGCTTGTGTCGTGATATCGGCAGGTGCCTTTGGAAGTGGGAATCGGAGGTTCAGCGGTGATGATGGTCCTTCAAAAAGACGTCTGAAAGTATCTTGTTATTTTTCCTACCCTCGCGGGATCGTGCTGAGCTGCTCTTCCATGTCGTCGAATGAGCTTATTGCTGCTGCCCTACGGGACGTCCGGTCAACCCGGTGTGCTGCTTGTGAGTTGACTGTTTCACTAGGTGTACGCGTGGTTATTCACTGCATTTTCAGTGGTTTCGGGTGTAATAGTGTTGTTTGATCATCGTCAGTACCAACGTTGCCCCTTGTTCTTGTGATCGAACTGGATGTGTTTCTCTACGCAGTGATTACACTCGGTGACGAGGTAAGTACCGAACCTTTTTGATCACCCAGTTAATCTGATTTGACCAGGTAGAGTTGGTTTGGGTACGTGTCACCTAGATCTGAGTGCTGACGTCCGTGACCGTTCATGTAGAGGAGCAACTGGTCAATAGGCAAAATCTTGTTCATAATTGTATGTCTTCATGTAGGCCTGGACCTCGAGCGTATAATGACTTTTCGCTACTTCAGAACCGCTATTACACGCTGTCATCTGTCATGTATGTTTACTTTCTTCCAGGATTTGAACCTCACCGTGATGCCCTTTTTCAGTTTCAATTGCTATGGTTCGTGATACATCGAACAGCGACCGCAGGATTCTGATGCAAACGCGTTCCGCCTGTAGGCCTTTTCACAACGTCGCTATCTGATTCGGTAGGGTTCAGCCTTGCCTCCCTTCGCGTGCCTCTGACCAAATTTTCCCTAGTTGTAAGTTTTCGGAATTTCATGCGGACCGACCATGAGATGTGATTTTTTTACATAGTTGTACGTTATCGTTCTTGCAACCCCCGGTTACGACTAATCCCCTTGCAGGTCGCCGCTTTTTTCAGTGGCAAGGGTGGACAGGTCTAATTGCGTGTATAATTGCAGAAGGTTTGCCTGCTCTACATTCTTGTCAAAACGCATCTATATTCCTGGTAACATAAGTGATATTACAAATGCGACTTTACGCATTGTATCTCCTCAACAAAAAAGTACTAGCCCTCATGGTTACAAGCTTTATTATATGTTCAGCCAGCGCAGCAGTTATCATGGGCATCGTTCTGTCCAACATAAGTAGTACGTCCTCTTCTGATCATCCTTCAACCCAAATAATTGAAAACAGTTTTACAGCGGGGCCGTCCATCCTTCCAGGTACCTCTGTCTGTGCACCGAGCGGCATACCGGATTATTTCTACGCTTTCTGGATTCCCACCATCTTATTCGAATCTTTGCTGTGCGGGCTAGCGCTGTTTCGGGGATTCCAAACGTTCAGGTCCGATGGACCTCTCTTTAGCTCTGGACGACAACTTGTTAGCATCCTTATCCGAGATTCAGTGTTCTATTTTGTAGTGTAAGCACGCCACCTCTTCCTTCTTTCTTCTGTCTGATTATCTTTACAGCATGTTCGCAACATACCTCACCAATCTACTTGTCTGGACTGCTGCACCAGTAAGAGCTCGAGATGGAGATATGATAACGCATCATCTGACCATTGGCATAGGCCGACCTTCTCGAGATTCCTATAGGGTTTTCCGTCACATTTTCGTGCGTCATGTCCAACAGAATCATCCTTAACGTTCGTCAAGCGAGCCAAAATTACATCGAGTCCAAAGTTACCGGCCCTCCAGAGAAAGACTCGAATAAACCCGTGGATCTACTTGTGGACGATGGATATGTGTCCGATATTGAAATGATGCAGTTGCGCTCAATGCGTTCCGAGCATACACAGCCAGCCATTCTAATTTAAATCGTTATTTGTGACCTGTAAATTATCAATCCGTTCTATCCACATCTACTCTACAAATTCGAACATTCACCGTCCAATCTGGAATGGAAATACGTTCCTTCAACTCGGCGAAGTGCGACAGCATTTTTGATGCACTTGTCCTGAACGATCAGCAAGCGCAGAACTGAGAATCGTGGTGTCACAGCGTCTACTTGCGACCGGACGTGTTGATCCCCGTCTCTAAGAAGGCTTCGTCCTCATCGATGACACTTACGAGGAGATCGATATCGAAAAATTGCGGGAAGGCGATGTTATGAATCAGACATTGCTATTCCTTGATACCAACTTCTTGATCACTACCCACCATCCGAGCAGAGCTTGTTGTAATCGTGGACGGCATTGACTTCGTGTGGACCCCGGAAACGAAGAGACTGTTTGTAGGTTCGGAAGCTTGTGAGACTTGCAAGGGCGAAACACAACATTAGGTGCTTACTCGCAGAGAGATCCGAGTCCGTGTGCCGGACGAAAACATCTTGAAAACTCAGGCTCAACTTAGCTCAAGAGTCTTCCGCGTAGAAGACAGAGACCACGACTTCTACCGTTGGTCTGCCTCCTTGATATACTTATTAGAGTCCTGACTGCTTAGCAGCACCTACAGTGTTACACCAGCCAGTGAGACAGCACCGGCCAGTGAGACGACAGGCTCGGAATGGACCATTTGAACCCAAATGCCCTCGGACTTTTCCCTGAATAGAACATATTGAGTGTAGGCATCTTTGTCAGAACATCCGGTGCTATGAAGGTATCATAGCGTTGGTCTGTATAGCAGATTACAGTAAAATAGCTGAAAATGAAATATATTCTAACATTTCTGGACTTGGTAACACTTCCGGAGCTGTGAATTTTTTGGCATACCATGGAATTGTATATGTGAATCAGATGAGGCACAATTGGGCAGCTTAACAATGACCACAAGCGAAAGAATTGAGATGAAGTCAAAGAGCCACTGAAAGTGGCGCACTTTGTTGTCACATCACACCGCTTCCAAATCTAGAGTCGGCTGATTCTGACCCTAATGTGTCTGATGCGTGTTGATTATCAGTGATTACCTTCCCAATTTGGTTTATCATGCGTGATGTGACGTGTCTCACTGGCTTGTAAATTACTGATCTTGCACTTTTGGTACTGATAAGCTTGGATATGGGTAGAACCTTCTCCAATGCAATAATTTTAGTAGGGAATAATGTACACCGATGGTCACGCCTTTAGTGTCCTGCCTTGTATCGTTTAAGGCAACTCCGAGGGTGCTTTTGATTTCGGTGTCTCACTGGCCGGTGTAACACTGTATTACCGAGAGGAACACTAAGAGTTTCGACACACTGTTAGCAAATCGGGAAGTAAGAAACATAGGGTTGTAGTGATGGAAGCATTAGTGTACGGTAGCAGAATTAGAGCTGTAATTTTCTTCTAAAAACAAATTGTTATGGGCTTATAGCGCAGTGGTAGCGCGCACGCTTTGCATTGTGGCTGTGTGAGGTCCGGGGTTCAATCCCCCGTGAGTCCATCTTTTTTGACCTCTTTTTCTTTTTACTCCAAGGTAAGTGCGACCCATGGCCCGTAACATGTAGGTCATGTATGTAAAGACGTTGTTAGAAGATAGAGGGGGGAGTTCATTCGTATTCATCGACGCGACTCAATGTCGGCCGAAGCCGTGTCTCCAATATTTCTGAGTCTATTGGTCTGGTAATGTCAAAATTTTTTTTTGGTGGACAGAAACAGAAGCAAGGGGCTTTTGCTATCGACTCAGCGCGCCGCACAAATGTTTAAATGTTACTTTTCCTCCCATCTTTCCCCATTCCACACCACCTCGACACTCCATTTCTCGTTGTCGATCCATTGATCTTTCAAAAATCCATCCCACCATTTCACATGAATCTCACCACCATCATCAAACCAATATCCAGCAACTCGTGGATCTGGGCCTAGATATTCATTTCTAAGATGCAAAAATCAGTTCGGTTTATATCCTACGTTATAAACACGTACCGTTTGGAATCGATCCCGTCCGCATGTACAAAGTTTGCGGCTACTCCTTCGCCATCCCAGCTCTCCAAGTAGTGTATATGTACCATCTGATTAATATCAGAGCCTGGATAAATGATGCGCGTTGTTTCCCCGTCCTTAGCCATGTACGACGTCGGCAAATGTATCTTTGTCCGTTTGCCTGCCACCATCTTTACTAACGGCCATCGGTGAACTTCCCAGGCTTTGGCGCGTCTTTGATCTGTAAGATTTTGCACTGACTCCTTCTTCTTCGACAGATCAGGAAGAGATTTTGTAACGTCGAGACTTGACATGGAACGTTGAAGTTTGGAACTGAAGTTGCGATCGATCACGCTGATGGAGGCGAGGCATCCATTGTGAAAGTTTTCAAACCCACTTGTACATATACAACAAGCAACGCCATCCAATGACTTGTGATAGCTAATACTTAAATAAACCATTCTAGTATCAGATAATACAATCTATTCAGAATAACTGACTAACAAAGAGGTAATTCTTACACTGATACACAGTACTAGTAGCTAAACATTGTCCTAGGAAAACTCAAATTTCATGCAAGCGATAGTGATAGCGATATATAAAATAGCGAAAGAAAAGACTATGCTCCCTCTGCAGACAGACCTTGCTGTTGCGAGAACGAACCAACAAAAGGCGTAGTAGGGCTGAGAGTAGCCCCGGACCCGCGGGAAGAGTAGGTCAAAGCAGGCGAAACAAGGGGCGGGGATGACTGCTCGACGTCATAGACATCGCGGTCAGGGTCCGGGAACACGCTGTGAGGGTATGCATGTTCGCCGTAGTTATTCTTGAAGTCGTCGCCCGCCTGAATATTACTGCGATGATGACGAAGCATAGCAGAGTTGCCGGTATTATTTTTCAGGTCGCCCGTGTAAGAGTCATTGTTGAACAGGCGGTTGCTATTTGCATGGACATTATTTTCGCTGCTGTTGCTACTGATAGAATTTGCAGATCTGTGCTGTTGGGCGCGCTGCGCAGTCGCACGTAGAATTTCCGAGGATATATTCCTCGATTTTGGGATACTCATGCTGCTGTGTTGATAGTGACGAGAATGATGCTGTTCTGCAGAAGTGGAAGTAGAGTGCGGAAGGGTCGAGGACCGGACATGAGCCTGCTGATTAATATACTGGTTGCGATTTGACACTTGCGAAGAGACGTGAGAGGAGTTCTGAGAGTATGATGAGATTTGGGAATGAATCTGGTCAGCGTCACGGTCACCAGGTAGACGAGAACCATTCACGTTGGACTGGTGAGTGCTTCCGTTTCGAGACTGCCCACGAAGAAAATTCTGCCCTTGTTGCATCGCTGACGACGATTGGAACTCTTCCTGTAGAGCGGGAAGAGAGCCGTTCATCATGCGGGGAGAATGGTATGCGTCTTGCCGTTGAGCCTGTAACTGAGAGAGTGAGATGGTGGAAGCCGGCGCTGCGAACACCCCTGACACCCACGTTATAGTCAGTGGGCTCTCCTTGACATTGTGCCTGAGCTTGAGATAGGTCCAACCTCGTTGGGCGACGACGCTGATTCGCTAGATTGCTTCCAGCAGCATGGGCCTGCAGGATGTATTCCTCTGTTGCAGTGAACCCATTCCTTGCTTGAGCAACACCACCACCAATAACGGGGCGATGGTTATCATATCCCAAGTTGATGTCGACGTCACCAAGGGCGCTGCGGAAACCTGCAACTTGAGGAATACCGCGATGGTGCGCAAGGCCGTCCGTGAACCTATCATCAGTACCGCTATAATTGCCGTTGCTGCGAAGGGTATTGATCAAAGCGGCGAGTTCTTGACTTTGAGCGGCAGAAGAGAGTTGGTCATACGGCGACTGTTGGAGATCACGAGCGTCTATAGGAAGTCGTGAAGAAGCGAGGGTTGGATTGGAAACGATGGGGATGCCATTTCCTCGATAACCAAGCCCAGATGGTATGGCGGCATTCGAGGAGAAATCGCGGAAGGGAGGGCTGACAAACGCGGTCTGATCATAGTCGATGCCAATGGAGGAAGGGTGAATGCGACTGCCGCCGATAGTAAGAGGAACCTGCGTCTGTTGAGACCGCAGTTGCTCTCGACCGTGCAGATTTAGGAGGGCAGCTTGAGCGATAGTAAGCCTCGACGGGGATTGGTCATCCTCTTTCACAGAGCGCTCAGTACGCTGAAACGAATCAATCAGACAGTGCTGGACCCCTAAAGAAGACTCCTTACACGTAACTCGCGTTGCTCAGATGTATCCGCAAAGCGAACGGAAATCCGGCTACCTGGGTCGTTCCAGCCTCTCACCATACGTCCGTGCAGACGCTCAATGACCTCCTCGGCACCAACGCGGGTATCCAATCTGAACGGACACATTACTGACATGAACGGCAAAGTAAGTCTGAGACCAACCTCACAAAGGCTATAATTCTGGGGGGGTTACTGAGTCTTGTCTGGAAGAATCTACTGCTCTTGATCCTGTGAGGAGATACCAGGGCACCGAGAGACTAGAGGATGGCCAATGTCAAATTACAGATATGTTGGACGGCGCGAGACTCACAGATTCATCGATGCTCAATGGTAACCTGTAGTTTGCATAAGTACGGTCGCGCGTCATCAGAACGGTGTGAAGCAACCCACCCTTCAATGTACAGGTTTGTGCTATTGGGGTCGTGAAGTCTTTCCATTTTCGCTTTGAATGAACTGTCGTCACCGTGATCCACAGATGAAGCTGAATGACTGGAGGAGACGGACGGGGCTTGAGCATAAGTCGTTCCCGGGATCTTGTGAACTTGCTATTGACAGAGATAGCTCAGTAAGGATGAACGAACGAAGATGAGGTTGTCACTAACCTTCGAAAATGTCGGATGCAGATTCCTGAAACGTCTCAAAGACTGAATGCATTTTTCTGCAGCGTCAATCGTTTCGAATCTGGCGGGAAAATGAAATGAAATGGAAAAATCAGAGAATGCATACGGAAAGGGGGCATATATGCGCACAAGACAAAACCATATCCACTCTCCTTCTCCCCTACATGCCTCGTGAAACTTCTGACGCTTCTCACAGGGCCAAAAGGTGCAGCAAGTTCGAAGAGTTGGTCCTCGGGATAATTCGGAGGCAGTCCGTTAATATACACGTTGGGAGTCTTGTTGGAATCTTCGTATGGATCACCGCCGTCGCTCTGGTCTGAGGGGGCAGGTGTCCAGTCAGTGGCCGTAGCGTTGTTCATAAACGAAGACGGGGCCGCTTGATGAATTTCGATATCTGGCAAAGGAATGTAGGTTGCCTTCTTCGATGGAGCACTGGGCACCACTTCCGGGGACGACGGAAGAGCGGATGGAGATGCATGGTGGCCTCGGTAGTGGGAATCCGCAACCTCACCCAGCTCAAGATCTACAAAGAACGTGTCAGTAAAACGTGAAAAAGGGATAGGACAACACGTGCCAGAGGTAGGAGCGGTTGTTGAAGGGCTTCCAATACGAAGTGAGCGGAGAAGCGTTCCTGCATCCTCTGAAGCAGAAGAACCGGTCTCTGCTTCCTCCAACCCATCTCGGAGCTTGTAAGAGTGCCCGACCTGGCTGGGGCTACCGAATGGCGAGTGGTACGAGGAAAGAGACGATTGGGTTGTCGAAGGAGTAATTTCTGATCGCGAAGGATTGCTGGAAAACGAAGCAAATGTTGAGACTGATGGAGCTAATGTGAACGAAACTGAAGTTGATGTCGAGGAAGAGCCTGGCGAAGAGTGTACAGATGCAGAAGATGGAGAAGTGGAATGAATCTTGTATCGAGAATCTGGTAGAGAAGATGGTACAAAATCGCCTGCGTTGGGGTTAAGAAAACCTGTAGATGAAGAGACGACCGATTCTGGAGGAGAAGGAGGTGCCCGCGTTGGTGGAATCGGCGTGGAAAGAGAAGAATGTGGGGAGCCGGACATGATGGAAAGCGGCTTTATCGATATAATATGGAAAGCGACAGAGAAAAACGTCGATAATGTTGGTAGTTGAAAAGAGCTTGGAGCTGGTACCGCAGCCGAAATTGCGTACAAGGTACGTTATAAAGATAATGTTAAAGTAGAGCTAGTTCGAGTAGTCAACGTAAAAGGCGAGGGCGAATAAGCGGTTATGGGTGCGGACGGATGTGAGGGTAGGGAAGAAAGAGGCAAAACGGATCTCCTTCAACGATCCCCCGACTTTATAACCAGTGCGATGGGACAAATAATGGCCTTTTTGAGCAATTTGGGCCATTTTTTGAGGAAAATTCCTGGCCTAGCCTGACTACGACGCGTCGTGCGCTTCATAGGAAGCTTCGATTGCTCGGCATCCACCGGCAGCGCGTCTCATCGACCGATGCAGGCTTCGCTTCGGACTCCAAAGAGACCTGCCAGCGAGTCGGGCCTCCGAGACGTCCGAGGATGTGCGATGATGCATAGCAGATCCACCTGTCACATTACTGCCGTATCAGCAGTTTTATTGTGGGATAGTTAGAGGTAGCGGGAACATGTCGCCAAGGAGATA